CTCGCTCTCCTAGAACAAAATTTTAACTAAGGGAATCAAAAAGATTTCCCCTCGACTAGGTTCGATCCTCAAGCAAAATGGCTCGGGGCTCAAGAACTTCGTCGGATCAACTCTCCGAGTGATTTCTAGGGCAGAACACTGCTCAAAAACCCCAGAATACTCAAGGAGAGGGTTCAAACTATGTTGAAAAGTGTGGAATGACGTCCAATTGACGTCATATTTATAGGGAATAGGCGCAATACGGCCTACAGGGGCAATACGGCCGTATTGAAATTTTTGAACTTCAATACGGTCGTATTGAAGTTCAATACGGTCGTATTGAAGTTCAGAAATTTCAATACGCCCGTATTGAGTTCGCCGCGGTCGTATTGAAGTGTCAATACGGTCGTACTGACTTCAGTATGGCCGTATTGAAGCTTCAATACGGCCGTATTGAGTTCAGTACGGCCGTATTGGGCTTTTTCCCTCCACTTCTTTATTTTGAGCTATTCTAAGACCTCTGGACCTACAGAGAACCCTCCTAGGGCCTTCGAGGAGTCCTTCTGGCTGATTATCCTTCAGTCTTCGAGAGTCTTCAAGCTTTATTTCCGACCCGGACAATTTTAGGGGTCTACACCCACTTTTCTCATTACCATTGTACAAATTCCATTCCATGTTAATAAATGAAATTTTCCACTTTTTTGTTAGCATTTTAATTTCTGTACAGAAAAAGCCAAAAATCGACAAAAAAGGCAAATTCAGAAAAATCCAAACAAATTATACAGAATAACTGAGCCTGGAGAGGCTTGCCGAAATAATACTCCCCAGAGACATCTCAGCTTGCACTCTTGGGTCGAATTCCCGGTGAAAGCTATCAGCGCAAGATCAGCATGATTCCCCAATGGAAGCACGATCATCCAAACTAGATATCCGAGTCAAAAGACTCAGACTTCCTCAGTGGAATATAGCTTTCCAACTCAAGCGACGAGTGAAGCTAAGCCTGCAGAGGCTTCCTAAATAATACTCTGGGAAACGCAAGATCCTCAATCCCCAGTCGCCTACTCAGAAGCACCCCTTCAAAAGAGAAAATCCGAAAAATCAATAACCATTCCCCAAGCGGAATTTGGCATTCAGCCAAACACCGAACGTCAAGATAATCCGCCTAATCCCCCAGCGGATAACAGCCTGCACAGAGGCAACAAAAATCAAAAAATCAAAAAGAGACACCCGGACAAGGATAACCGGGATACTTCACCAACGTCGAAAGGATGTCAGCCAATCATAAGGCATCACTCACCTCAGAAAGAGCATCTTTGTGTCTACAACCCCAAGGAATCAGAAATTCCCCAGTGGACACCAACTACAGAAAGTTGGGACACAAGAACCTATGAGTAACTGCACATCCCCTAGACAGGATCCCTGCGTTATCCAGCCCTCAAAGGCGCCAAAATCAAAACAACCGTCGAAACAGCATCGTGGACTGTAGAGACAAAATTTCTTCGAAGCGCCACAGGTCTACTTTTCATATTCCCGTAGATAAAGAACGAGAGTCGGCTTCCCTTACAGAATTTGTCATTGACGGTTTTTCACTATGTCGAATAATACAATTGGTGACTACAATTCCAAAGGGTAATTGATCTTCTCTCTGTCTTCTTGTGTGCTTCCTCTATTTTGTTTTCTTTCACATTGTGTTTTTACTTTTCCCGGCTAAAGGTCTGCCTGTTTTGCTAGACCTAGTCTCCGAATCATCATAATTATTATCATTTCTTTATAAATTTAGCAAGAAAGACACAAACAACTAGGATTTGTGGGCTTAGCTCTGGAAGTGGAAAGGATGGGTCCAATAGAGGATTTGTCTTTTGTCTTTTTCTTTCTAAACACAACATTGTCATGTGCTCAAGGAAAAGAAAATGACTCAAATGAAATCCATACCGGTGGCCGGTGAGGCACATGCAAGACACATAATATATCAAGAAGCAGGTTGTCTTTAGTTTAAGCCCTACTGAAAAATGCTACAACCTGTTGATGAGGACTAGGCCATCGAATATGCCGAAAATTCCATGTGGCAAAATCCAAATGGATCAGAAAACAATAAGATGAGGATACCTTCACGACACAAGAAAGTGGCAGTTCTAATGATTTGACAACAGATCGGACATTCCAACGATTCTTGTGCAAGGCATTGCCGCACCCCTCTTGGCTTTTATGTATAACCCAAACAAACATGTTAATGTAAACAACATTTCCCTATTTTCTCTAATCTCTCTATCACTCTATCCCCTTGGACGGAAAAAATATAACCATAATAACGTTGTGAAACTGAAACAACTCTACAGGAGAAGAAAAGATGATCAGCCAGAAAATATCACCATCAACAAGCAGCCCAAGGAAGAACTCAAAAACACTTCATGACCTGTTTGTGCAGGAGAATCCTCACTTCACTGTCCCATCTTCTTCCCCAACTTCAGGAAATGAAGAACTTTTCTCCACTATTTCTTATTGCACCTTTGTTTTCACCTTCACTGACCCTTCAGAATCTCCTGCACAAAGAGACTCAAAGAGGCTTCAACTCACACGGCTAGTCTCTATATTGAAGTCCGCAAAGAAGCCAGTGCATGAAAAAGTTTTGCGGCCTCTAGTGGCCATGATCTCAGCCAACCTCTTCAGGCCACTCCCTCCACCTTCCAACCCTTCTACCATCTCAGACATGCCTGAAGAAGAAGACCCCATTTCAACATTTTCACCCCTATGGTCGCATCTCCAAATAGTTTACGATATTCTTCTCAAGCTTGTTAACAGCATGGACCAAAAGATACTGAGAGAGTGCATAGATCATTCTTTCCTCCGCAATCTCGTAGCACTTTTCCAGTCTGAGGATCCAAGGGAACGTGAGAGTTTGAAAAATGTGTACCACAAGATATATTCCAAGTTCATTTCTGATCGCTGCTTCATGAGGAAATCTATGACCGAGGTGCTGTTGAACTATGTGTTTGAGACAGAGAAGCATCCGGGTATTGCGGACTTGCTTGAGATATGGGGTACCATAATCAATGGCTTTACCGTGCCACTCAAGGAAGAGCACAAGTTGTTCCTCATGAGAGTGCTCATTCCTCTACACAAGACCAAAGGGATGCAAGTGTACCATAGGCAATTGGCTTACTGCGTGTCACAGTTTGTGCAGAAGGAGCCTATGCTTGGAGGAGTTGTTGTTAGAGGGATTTTGAGGTATTGGCCTGTCACAAACTGTCAAAAAGAAATCTTGCTAATTGGGGAGTTGGAAGATCTAGTGGAGAATTTAGACCCTGACCAGTATCGTAAGTTGGCCTTGCCCTTATGTACACAGATAACCAAATGCATAAACAGTTGGAATTCCCAGGTATATCTCTTGTCGTGTTTGAAGAAAAAATAAATTTCATATTAATTTTTGAACATGTATTACATATCTTTTTCTTTCATTTATATACCTTTCAAAATATCCTTTAAAAAATAGATAGTGTTACATCTCTTACAAAAAAATTATTATTCTCTACCATATATATTAATTAGGTTTTCTTAGTTAGTATTAAACAACTTAAGACAACACTAATCATAGAAAAGAGAGAGAGAAATGTCCATAATTTACTCAACTGAAAGGTTTTTTTACTAGTTAAGCCTACAATTTACTTATAAATTTGCTTCAGGTAGCCGAGCGTGCACTCTATGTATGGAACAACGAGCAGTTCGTAAAAATGGCATTAATAGGAACGGTGGAAGTGTTTACTGTCATTGTGGAAGGCATGGAAAAGAACCTGAAGTGGCATTGGAGCAAGAGCGTCAGGCAACTAACAGAAAGTGTGAAGGTGATGCTGGAAGAAATGGATCCAGATCTGTATTCCAAGGGTCTCATGGACAAGGAAGCTAAAGAATCAATGGCACATCAAGAAGATATCAAGAGAAAAAAGTTATGGGAAAGAATAGAAATGGAAGCTGCTAAGAATCAGTTTCTTTATCCACAACGTTATATACGTGTTTCAAACTGAACATTAATGTATGCAAATTTGTGCTGGCAATAATAATTGCAAGATCATATTTGTTCAAAAGTTGTTTAGTTGTTAACAAATATCAATACAGCAAGACAGAAACTGGCAGCTATTCGTGATATTCAAATAGAAAGAATTTTATAACAAATACAAAATACCAACCAAAAAAAAAAAAATATATATATATATATATATATATATAATTATCATGTTATATTAAATTATTAATTAATTGGGTTATGTTGAATTTGAACAAGTAAATTTGTTAATTCAGTAAAGGATAAAAAGCGATCTCAGCTTGCTGCTTGACAAAACATTAACTTGGCCAATTGGTTCTGAACCTACGACGTGCTCACGTAATTAATATAATTTTTTTTTCCATATATAGAATTAACCGAATCTCAAAAAGAATTAATCGAGCCTTCGCAAAATATCAAGTCAAATTTGGATCTAAAAAACGACTTGCTCCAAATATTGGACTAAATTTGAATTGGGCTACACCCATCTCATCAACATTCAAACATCTGCTTTCCACTGTAACCAAATAAAATTTAATATTTCCAATTTAGAATCTATATAAATTTATTATATTCAGATACAAATAAATTAATTATGATATGAACTATATGTTAAAACAAGAGTTAATTATCTATACATTGACAGTGTAAAATTTTTGTATACTAATAACTAATCATATCTTTTAATAATGTCATGTCAATTACTTATTTAATAAAATAAAAATAAAATAAAATAATTTATATAGATTCTAATAATAATAATAATAGTCAGTGTAGATATTAATTAACTATTGTTTAAGGGCATCGACAGCATAGGAAAATAATGTCAACAATTTTCCCTTTTGGCTGAAAGTAGAAGAAAAAAAGTCATTGCAGGCCACAAAGCATACACAAGTTTAAATAATTATTGTCAATCAAAATTTAAATGATGTGCAGCCTAAGGCAACACGATCGAAATCGGTTTTCAAGTTACAGCTTACAAACAATGTAACAACTAAATACGCTGGAAACTACAAGTCAGATAATATCCCTCTCTCTCTCTCTCTCTCTCTCTCTCTCTCTCTCTCTCTCTCTCTCTCTCTCTCTCTCTCTCTCTCTCTCTCTCTCTCTCTCTCTCTCTCTCTCTCTCTCTCTCTCTGGTGGTACAAAACTGTGTAGCAAAGACACAACCTATCAACTTAAAAAACTAAAAATATTGGAAAACTGTGACGACGAACACAAGGGTCGAATAAAATTCGCCTTTAATTACGGCTTTAACTATAAAGGCAACAAAGAATCAAGCATTTCTAAAGGTTGAAAGTCATTCCCCTGTACATTTCTCATGGGAAACTCCATCAAATGAGATCTTGAAGGCTTGTGGAACTGCCTGTAATCATCAAGCTCAAACGAATTGTATAAGTAGTGTTACCCTGTCTGAAAACTTGGACCGAGATTAAGCTCTTGCTTAATATGACCCGTGACTCCAATATTGCTTGACAACACACAAAATGACCGACAAGGTCAATGCAGATACAAAGCTCACACGATTAAATTATACTTGATATTTTGAAAGCTTTTCTTTTACTGGAGGCTCCAAAGCAGACATACACTGGTCCCATGCTCCATTCCGCAGCATCTATAGCATAAACATGGGATTATAGTTTCATTTTCATGAGGAAAGTATTACAACTATAAACTTATAGTTCCCAAGGCAGACGTGTACCCAACAGTGAAGCAACAAAGTCACTAACCTGTTTATACCCAAGCAACACCTGGCAGACTTCATTGTGTAAATCTTCACTCCTTATTTCCTATAGACGTCAATAAAAAGCAGTTATGTTACAGAAACTCTAAAGCACATGTTAACTTTTAAGATGACAGTGGTGATGGCAAAACATACATGCCAACTTGCAATGGCTTTGCACATATAAACAAGTGAACTTAGACCTCCAGTAGGATTAGCTTTGACCTGAAAACAAATGTCAAACGCCAATTACTTTAAAAGTCTACATGAAAAAAATTTACCATGTGAATAGGAGCATACCATAGCGCATAGACCTCTAAAAGCATCCTCTTTCTCAACATCATCTCGTATCCTGCAAAAAATCAAGATAGAGAAATCAATATACAAGATAACCTGAAATGAAACAGTGGACATCTAAAATAATGGTCAATTTGGAAGATATTGAGATATTGGTTTCCTCTCCTTTATATGTTATATCATGCATGAATTCCAAATATTTAAATAAATACAGGATTGCAGGCACTACTATTGACTATTCTAAGTTCTCAGACAGATAAATATATAAGATCATTATAAGACAGATGACATTTTAGACCTCTAAGACAGAGTAAATGCCTTGAACACAATTTGATGTTTTCATGTGATCCAATATTTATACTACCAGGGAGATTGCAACTGCTAAAACCTTAAGTAAAAATGTTCATATTAAATGGGGGTCCTCAATGAATGAATTTGAAAGAAATTATCCCAATATCAGATCTATTAATACCATCTTCAATTAAGCCTAAAAGCTTAACTCAACCTCAAAAGTCAGCTCATGAGATGAGGATTGCTCTAACCTTGGTCATATCTATAATTGATTTAGGATCTCAATAGCTATTTTAATGGTTGCAGTGTATAGCACTGTTTTATAAAAGTCTGTTCGACATGACCCAAAAGGCAAGTTTCAGGGCAATAAAACAAAACCAACATATTAACATTGCTTCTTAAAGGCATGTCACTATGCATCTCAACAGCTTTTTAGGCCACTTAATGAGATCTCCTCCATCTTCCTTTTTCGAAAGAAAAACATCCATCTTCAATCCCAGCCACCACCTTTAAAACTGAATTGATCAAACTCACAAGGGAACAACACTATAACCAATTTCTCAACTTATGCTGAAGACATTTGGTTTTGAATCCCAGAAAGCCCTCCTAAAAATATGGGTTAAGTAAAGTAAACATGAACTAAATCCATCGAAGATGAAAAGGCAAAACTAGAAATGCAATCCATCTGAGATGAAAAGGAAAATCAGTAATTCATACTCAATTTATCATGAACCTCAAAATGTGCAAAAGCATCTTCGAATTTCAAAACATTCTTTATTGCAGTGACTGAAGAGATCCAGATGTGCTCATTGTGGAAGTCATGACTATAAAAAAGTAGAAAACAAACAAGTGGTACAACATCTTACATTGACAAAGCAGTGCACCACGATTGCATGAAATGCTCCATATGTGGTGATACAAGATCTGGACAGACCCATGCAAGCCTCCCCAGTGTTATTGCACTATTTTCTATAAGTGACTTGTTGAGCCCCTATAAGCAGCAAGACAATCAGCAACTACACATGACCAAAATTATAATTGAAGAATGTAACAAGACAGTGACCTACCTCTGCATGCTGAAGAATTGGGACCAGGCATGAAATTACAGTTAAAACGATGGGAGAGATTTCCTGACGAACCTGCAATCATAATTCACAATCAAACGTTTTACATAAAAATGAACAAAATGTGACATTTAATAGTTAATGTCAGAAGATATTCATACTAATAACAGCATAATATAATTATATAAATAAGAAAAGTATATCCATGAGGGAAAAACAAGCTTCAAACACAAACATATCAGACTAGGTATAATGTTGCATATTATTTAGCAAAGCTGCAAGACCATGTCAACAGAATCTACTCCAATACTCGATCAGAGGTGGACTGGACATGAAATGTGCAGGAAATCCAAAGCATTAGTTCTAGACAGTGCTCCATTTCAACTTTGGAGGTGATGAGATTAAGATTGAAAAACATTCCCTTCAAAATTTAATGTGGAAACCATCAAAACAAAACATCAATGAATGCAAAATTCCATCAAGGAACCAATAAAGGAAGCTGTAATATATTATTATCATATCTGCAAAATTATCTGTCAAGAACCTACTCTAAATATATCAACCCAATAACAATGAGACAAGACTGGGTTACCACGATTTGTTGAAATAATAAATCACTGTTAGTATTGTGTATAGCTAAATCTTGAGCCTGGCAAAATCGATGGCTAACTACACTGTGAGTAGCAAGACTAGCTCCTCTATACATGGCTTTTCTACCATGTAATACATTGTTGGAAGTCATCTTAATTGTTGTCACCCGGCCTGCCTTAATTGTAGCCTCTCCTGGTTGCCTTAATTGCAGCCTCAAGCAAGTGTATTTAATCCCCCGTCATCTACACCTATTGATGTTATATGGCCTACGTAGTACTTATAAAACGTGAACAATTCTCATCTTATTAGTTTTATGGGATTAAATTAGGCCAAGTTCTAAAATAGTATCAAAGCCTGTACTAAATTCATTGTTGGTCAACCTGAATTTTAAAGTGACTTCAAACCTTAAATGCATCCTCAAGGGCGGTGTTTAGTCCCACATCACTTACAAATATGGCCTAAGTAGAAGTGCTTATATGACTTGGATAATCCTCATCTTTCAAGTCAGATTTGTAAAGTTCAACCCTGAACCCAAATCTAAGAGACCATTTTTAGCATATTGAGGGCAATTGTTTAGCATTCACAGTATTCATCACTGTCTAACACAGCTTTTGAACCAGAAATCATCTTAATTCTTAATTATGGCAGTCTAGAACTATTTTATGCAAACCAATGTCCATCAATGCCAATTAGATTCTAGCTTCCATATATTTCTATCATTTCATCATAAAGCGGCACTAAAAATTGCATACCTTAACTGCTAGTTCTCCAATTGCCCAACATGCATTATTTGCTACGGAAATAGCCTCCTTTACCTTAGAAATTTCCTGTACACCATACACGATATAAGAATAAAATGATTAAATAAACGCAACCCTATGGATAAACTAATATCAAGAACACACATACCAGCTGCTTGGTTGAAGCCTCAAGAAACTCAGATAAACGAGGGTGCAAATGTACCGGGCACACCTAGCCAAATTACAATTGTTAGAATACCATCAACTAACATACAGTCTACAAAACAATCCCTGCTCTCCTCCAAAAATGAAAGAATATATGTTTTGTTAGACCCAAACT